CTACGTGACTCGTTTTCTTGTTTCTCTACACAAAGTTGGGGTTTTCTACATGATAGCGCGAAGACGGGCACACATTTTTGTGAACAATTTAGATCACGAAAATGGCGGGCCCGTTCCAGCAGAACCCTTAGAAGCAGCTATTATTTGCCGAATACAGTCTGTTCACTACTTCGCCATGCCACAAATACAGCAGATAGTAAACCTCTTGCCTGTGATGAAGGCAGCCACATTTTCTTAATTGGTGCTGTCAACGCCAGAATACCCAGTTTTAACTGATCCAACCTTCATATCTTGTTTGACCTAGTCAAGTTGATTTTTCTAGCACATCAATTCCAGAACAACGAAGCCAATTTCCTTGTCGTTTTCGAGCAGATACCAGGCAACACAACAAAACTCGCTCAACATTTCTTTCCAGGCCGACGAGGACAGGAGTGCTATTACAAGTTTAGACAACATTACATCGAACTGGTTCCAACATCGAAACAGAAGAGAATGGACGCTTTGTTGGATACAGAAATGCCAGGAGATTAGAAACCCCCATTGTTATTGGCGTGTCTTCGACGTCCACATCGAGATATGCCTGACTTTGAAAACTGACAGACATCAGCCCCTAGAAGTGGCTAGAACAGCTGACGACAGGATGGAATTAATCAGCTTGCAGACTACCCCAACGGTAAAAACAAACAACCACAGTGTTAAGAAACACCGATGTTGCAGATATTGCAACTGCCTCAAGTAAGATCCCACGCTTGTGCACCTTCAGAGAAACGCTACTCCAGCCCCAATTCATGATGTTAAAAACACAAGAAGTTCCGTTTCCGCGCAGGTAGTTGTGTCTCTTCTTGCACATGGCAGGACGACCATAGGTCCACAGGTTTACACAGTAGGTAAAACTGGTACCCCAACAGGTTACGGTGACATCCTGCTCATGGGTCCCTCCGAATCGTCGTATTTTCTTTGTCTACCACAAAAAGGTCAAATCAAATTTGTCTGATCGACACAGGGTCAGCTTCATACATCTTTTACAGAACAAGGGGATACAGAGACGCTTTACCCTCTCTGGTAGCAGCAAATAAAACGATGATCATAACATATGGTACCTAAGATGTACAAGTAGATTCCATTCTCGAAAAGATTTTGAGATGGGATTACAATATAGCTTGCCTTTCTTATGCTATCGTTGACATTCATTTCTTAAGAAGTCACCAACTATGTGTGGACCTCACATACGACTGAATTTCCCACACAGCATCGAAAAGGTACAACCTCTACTCCAAACTGACGTTAGCCCATTCTTTCTTCCAGGCAACTTCGATCGTACAAGGTTGCACATCACATTAAGACCACTGAGCATCCAGTTTTTCAACGGCCACGACAGCTTGCGCCAGACAAACTGAAGGCAGCAAAGTCTGTTGCTAAGACTACGAAGAGAAACTGGGTTTCGATTAATCCCCTGAGATAATATTGTTGGGGGCACTTTCATTTCGTATGAAAGAGCAGGAAGAAGAGATTCGTAGGTCGATCTAACCAGAAGAGGACGGATGAAACCCGTTCTACTGCAGCCGTTTGGCTTTTTTAAGCTGTTCAGGTTGACGCAGTCCGTGAGACTTCACCTCTCGTTTTGAGTGAAAACGGGCTGAGCTGTCGTCCATAATTCGATGGACATCATCAGAGTTGGGTCCCATTCCTGTAAAAGTATGGTTGAGATAATGAGGGGTAAGCTTGTAAGAATTTAAGTAAAGTTGCGAAGCCACTTGCCCTAACCTCTTAATCTAGGGGCATTAACGTTTAACCACCCGAGGAAAGGAACGACTAGTGCTGCGTAATCTGGCCCGTATAGTTTGGTTGATGAGCTTAATATAACATGTTGGACGAGTGTGACCTACTTTCAACTGGACTTTCATTCAACGGGATTCATCCGTCCTCTTCTGGTGAGATCGACCTACGAATCTCTTATCCATGTACTTTCATACGAAATGAAATTCTCTCCAACAATGTTAATAAGAACTTTATAGACGCTCGCATCATTCGCCCTTTAAAGAGTCTATGAGCGTCTCCACTTCCCCTGATCCTAAAGAAAGGAAAGAGTGGATGGAGACCTTGTGGAGACTTTCGAAAATTCTATTCAGTTACGACACCAGACCGGTATGCTTTTCCGCGAGTCATGCCTTAACCTTAAAAGGAAGATATACGTCAAATCTGCTTATTACCAGATATCACTACACCCATTACACATTTAAAAAATTGCCACTATTGCCTCTTTTGGCAAAAATGCCTCTTGGTCTCATCAACGCAGCAAGAACTTTCTAGCGTTTGATGGATGAGATTATCCGATCCTTAGATGGGGTATTCACTCATATAGACGACTTGCTCATCGGCAACATTGATATTGCAAAACATCAGCAGCAACTGACGGATCTGCTTAAAAGACTAGTCTAACATGAACTAATGATAGCTCCTAAGAAGTTCGTTTTTGGCGTCCCCATGTTAAATTTATTTGGTCACCACATTGATCAGCATGGAATACTCCAATGTTAGGATGCCTAGGAAATTGTCCTTTGTCACCTATTTTTAAATTCTAATGTGCTTTCCTTTGCATGATGAATTTCTACCGTCCATTCATTCTTAACTGTGTTGACATCCGGAGCCCATTGGAGGAAGTTCTAATGACTAAGAGCAAAGAGATTGTTTTATTCGAGGGCGCTGAAAAGGTCGTCACGCTAGGCAGGCAACGCTGCCGAAAGCCACAGTGTTAGCACACCCAAATCCCTAGGTAGCGCAACATCTAGAAATAGATGCCTCTGATAAAGCTTTAGGCTGAGCCTTATATCAAATTATGGATGGAGTGCCATAACCGCTTTCTATTTACGTAAACTAAGTACATCTGAGACTCGGTATAGCACTCTAGGCCGCGAACATTTAGCCGCTTAATCCCTTAATAAAAAGTCTTTCAAGCACATGTTCACTGGTGGACAATTTCATATCATCACTGATCATAAACTTCCTTGCGGAGCTTTCACGAGCTCATCAGACAAGTGCTCGCCACACGAGACCTCCTATCTTGATTATATTTCACTGTCCCTAATGATGTGCTGCCAACATGGTCACAGATGCCCTGTCTCGCATTGAACATAACACCGTATCCACAATAGCAGGCATTGGCTACAAAGCCATGGGAGCACAGAAGAATGAAAGCAATCAGGAGACGGCAAAAAACGTGACTAAAGCTTCATATTTCACAAGTGGATATCCCCAAGGGACCCCAAATTGTAGTGCGAAATGTTTACAGATTGGCATCTACCTCCAGCACCAATCTAAATGCGGAAAAGGTGCTTCAAGCTATATACAATTTGGAACATCCTGACATACGAGCTTCCAAAAAGCGCATTGCAGACAGTTTTGTTTGGTCGGTAGGTGGACTAAAGCTTACTCATTCTGTCAAAAGAACAAGGTACACAGACACACCAAGACTCCCATCGGCAGTTTTGAGCAAGTTTCAGAAAGATTAAGCCATATCGACATAGACATTCTGGGTCCTCTTCCATCTTTTAAGGAAAACCAGTATGGATAGTTTCATACGATGATCAGATGCCATAAAAATTCCGGACATACAGGCAGAGACAGTTGCCAAAACTTTTTCCTCCTTTGAACACACCGGCAGACCTTACAATTAACAGTAGCAAGCAGTTTGAATTCCATCTTTTCGCCCAGCTATCTAAAGTATTGGGAACGAAAAAGATGCACGCCTGCGCCTACCCCCTACAAACGAACAGTCGGATAAAAGGTTCCCACCGTCACCCGTCTGAGATTCCGGAGGAACCCTGGGAAGTGGATAGAGCTTAATCACCTTAAACGAACTAAAGTGAATACATCTCATATAACTGATTTACTGGTAATTTCGAAACCCTATTTATGAACAAAAAATAAGTAATGCAGTCGATTGTCATAGCAAACATAACTTTGCTTCATCGACAATCCCACCAAAGAATATGATATGGCAAAAGGCCTGGCCTTCCTTGGAATTTACATCTGCCCTGTGACCCAATGGGACTCGTGGCAATATGATGTAGAGGTTGACGTGTCGAGATTATACGCTGCACTGTGATGGTTCGACTCCCGCTGAGGATGTTGATAAGGCCTAGGCGAGGTCAAAACTTTAGTCCTCCCTGGTTGAGAACATTTTTTGGGAAAGCAAGGCTATATGAAATTCAATGGAAGCATCAACTCTACTTATTTCCTTGTGGGAAAACTCAATTACCAGTCCTTCATCACCTTGAACGAAATAGGGTGAATACACCTTCTATAGGTGGACAGATAATTTGCTTTTAGTCCTGCTGAGCTTACTGATGACAAGCAAAGCAAAGACTGACTGCAGTCTAGCAGAAATGGTTTACGGATGCCGATTACGATTATTCAATTATTTCGTTACCACTATGAGCATTAGAACATTATCAGCCGACTACTTTAGAGATCTGGCAGAGATGATGGAGAGACTACACAGCATACCTTTCAGACCAACTCCCTGTAGGTCGGAAGAACCTAAAGAACTTATTGAAGGCCTTTTTGTATGGTCGCAGTTGTATATAAGTTGTATGCTCTTGTTTTCGCAACTTCGTCATATTAGTAGGAAGACCTAGAGGAACACACCTAGTCCGGAGTCTATAGTATGCATGATAATTTCCAGAATCGGACTGTAGACGCGTTACAATCCAAGACGTTTCGACGGCATCGTAGTCGACATCGTTAATGTGCCTTGCCACTCTAAGAGACAAGTCTCTTTGACGAGTTGTAGTGTGATGCTAAGAATGACAAGGCTCACTGACGATACCGACCAAACGTCTGGGAATGTATCATGTCCATTTTTCGACTGGAAATTATCATGCGTTCTATGGACTCCGGACTAGGTGCTTTCCTTTAGGTATTCCTACCAATATGATCAAGCTGTGAAAATAAGGTCTAACAAGTTCTAAAGAACTTATTACTTGCAAATGCGTCCAGGTCAGAGACGACCGAGTATTGCCACTAAAATCAGCACCATACAATGACCCATTTCGTGTCATCTCCTGAGACGAAACCATCATACTCTGCTAATAAAAGATCATCATCAGGTAGAAAGCACGGATCAACTTAAGACTGCAAGAATTTACAAGTTGGAATAAATCCCACTCACAGAGAGCATCCTGATCAAACCCATATTCAGGACAAAATAACAGTCCCATGACGCTAAGATAAAAAGTTGATTTCACATCTGGAACTTGATGCAACTCTCATTCGCCCCTTTTTTCGAGTTTACCTCATCCGGACTAGTCGCTGGGGCGATTATTATAGTGAATTTCTCTCTACCGTCAGATTAGCTTCATCTATCTTCACAACCAACCAGTAAGCAGCTATCTTTTGATCCAAGCGACAAGACTAGGAGCCTGGCTCATCAGCACTATTTTTCGTATTTGAGTAGAGTTTCAAGACTATCAGTAAATCAGTAATATGAGATGAATTCATCCTATTTTGTTTAAGGTGATAAAGGACTGGTAGTTGAATTTTCCCACAATGAGGTGACGTTTTCCATTGGATTTCACATTGTATTACTTTCCAAAAAGTTGTTCTCATCCGAGCAGAAGTGGACTGCCGTTTCGATTTTGCATCGGTCTTATCAACACCTCCAGTGGGAGTCGAACCGTGACAGTGCAGAATGGGAGCTAGAAACGTTAACCACTCGACCACATTGCCAAGAGTGCCCTTGAGTCACAGGACAAATGTGAATTTCAAGGAAGGCCAGGCCTTCTGTCATATCATATTGTTTGGTGTGTTTATCGATGAAACAAACGTATATTTGCTATAACTATCGACTACGATACTTATTTTTCGTATTTGAGTAGAGTTTCGAGCCTACCAGTAAATCAGTAATATGAGATGAAAACGTCACCTCTACTCATATCATTGCGGGAAAATTCTACTAACAGTCCTTCATTACCTTAAACGAGATAGGGTCAATTCATCTCCTATTTCATCAGCACCATGTCAAGTGAGGCCTAAGCTAACCGAAAAATTGTATCGAGCCTCACGATTGAACCAATCAGAACACTAGAGCTAGAAAATCCTTGGACTCGCGACTGTTATCTGCTGTTTGCCTCGTTCCGTTCCGACCCTCTTTGACCCAATACTGCTCACTTGCATTGGCACCACACTCTGCCATTGTTCTTGCTCTATGTTCTAGAATATTCTATATTTAGTGCTCTATATAATAGCTTGTAACCGAGGACAAATTTTCAGTGAACAATTCAGATAATTAAGGGCTTTTAGAAGGCACAGCTATGTGCAATTCAGTGGTACTTTTGGAAAATCCCATTTTTAGTCCTTCATTATCTTATGCGAGCCAGGGTGACCAAAACTCTTAATCAAGATCTACTGCAAGCCTAGAGACCTATCATTTATACCGAGCTGCTTGCATATGTCGATTGTCTCTGACCATTTTAGCGTATAGTCAGTAAGTCATACATGTTCTGGAATCAATATTATCTACGTTGGATTTATGAAAATTACTAAGCATAAATCACCTCTTCCTAATACTAACATAAAATTCGTTTTTCATGTTTTACTTATTAGCCTTGCCTTATTTCTTCCCAATCTGCATCATTCCTTTCTGCCTTTTATGCCAATAAAGTATATGATATTATAAAATATATTATATGATTTATTTGAAAGTCTATGCTGGTAAGTCTTAAATTATAAAAAGGTTTCAGGCCAGAGACAAATTCTTGAGTATGCTTCATTGTATATATTTTCATATATAGAAATTATTGCTTGTTTATGAACTATTTTTGTTAATGAAGTTGAACAAAACCTAACTAATCAATTACTAAATAAATTTTACACTA